CTACCACAGAGCCTTGTAACCGATTGTGGTACAAAGTTTTTAAGCAAAGTTTTCAAGGATATCTGCAACCTTCTTAAGATAAAGCAGACTTCAACAACCCCGTACCACCCTCAGAGTAATGTTTTTCCGGAGAGAAGCCACCGTACTCTGGGAGAATATCTCCGAAATTTTATTGACAAGGATCCATTGAATTGGGATGTGAAAATTCCATATGCAATGTTCTGTCACAATCCACAGTTCACTCAGCAACTAAATATCAACCTTACGAATTGGTATAAGGGAACCCAGTTGCAATTTCCTTATCCTTATTAAAAAAACCAGAACCTCGATATAACTATGAGGATTACCAGTTCGAAATCAAGAAGCAATTACAAGAATCACATGCGATAGCTAAAAAGCATTTAATTTAAGCAAAACATAAATCAAAAGCCCAATATGACAAAAATTCCAATAACAGAATCTTCGAGGTAGGACAGAAGGTTTTGCTACAAGACAAAACCTCAATCAATAAATTAACTTCAAAATGGTTAGGCCCTTTTGAAGTTTTAGAAGTTGATCCTATCAATAAAAACGTAACAATAAAGAAAAAGGCAAAGAGGCAAAAGATTCATCCGAACCTATTAAAACCATTCTATGAATAATACTAATGATAACCCATCACTGTTTTACAGAAAATTAAAAATGAACAATTCAACAATAACCGTTGAATACCTGCTTTTCACCTCAATACTCCTACCAACAAAGATGACGGAATGACAGAATTTTCCACCCACGGATGTAGCCACAATTTCACATTTTAACAACACGGAAGAACTTTATTACAAATTTCTAGGCAAACTAAAAGTTACAGACTCTGACTGGAAGCTAATGAATTTTCTTAATCTAGAATATTACACAACGAGATACGTAGCGTTATCCAGATCTTATAATACTACATCTCAACTCTGTAGTGAAATACGTCAGAAAACCGAAAATCCAGAAAATACGCAAAGCTGCCGACAGTTTGCGCAAGCAACTGTCCCATACCTCCATGAAATTGATCAAAATCACCAAAATATTTTATCAACTATAGGAAACAATGATCAGTCTAAAAGTAGAACCCGTCGTGGACTTAGCAATGCCGTTAGTCGGGTGGCCAACGTACTATTCGGTAATGCTGAGAACATTGATTTCGGATTTATCTTCAACAAAATAACTCAATTAGTGAAAAGTAAAGTAAAAGATATCAATTTAACATCGGAACAATCTCGAATCATTGAATTGACAACCAATGAAAATAATAGCACACTAAATCAGATATTAACGAACCAGCAAAAACTTGAACAGAACATTTATCTACTAAGTGAACAAGCTAAGAAAAATGCAAAGGACATTGATCAAATAAAGATCAGAACAGCGCTATTAGAACAGACTCTCTTTTTCGAAGTCCAACTGAACCAATACGCATATGAGACACAAAATCTTTTGGCAATAATTGATTCTGCCTTACATGGGAAATTACACACCATTGTATTACACACCCAACGTTGGTTAACAGAACTTCGTGAAATTAATGCAAACATTCCAATAGGGACGACTTTCCCACTTGAGATTAAAACAGAATCTATTTCTGATTTCATACAAATTTCGGAAATAACAATTTGTCATAAAGGTCAATATATAACCTAACCTTATATTTGTAACAAAAATTCCGCTAGTACAAACCATTGATTTCAATGCCTATAAAGTAATTCCGTTACCTATTATATACGATAGCCAGAGCCTTATCTTAATTTACCCTAGTATGGAGATTATAGCAACTAGTTATAATACGCAAAAGTTTTTCTCGTTGACAAATAAGCAATGGGAAATGTGCAGGGAGTCGCAATCATATACACTATGTAAAAATAGTCAACCGATCCATCATAAATCTAAGTCAAACATATGCGAAATTTCTCTTATGTCAAAACCACAGAACTTCCCCGATACTTGTAATATAAAATTTGTGACAACGAATGCATCTGTGTGGAACCGAATCCCACAGTCAAATTCTTGGTTATTCTACACACAATCTGATATAATAACAATATACTGCGAAAATCCAGCCAGAACATTTACTTTTGAGATTTATGGTGTAGGTCGATTGACTATTATCACAGCATTCTATACGAAATGCTCTCGTAGAGCCGTTGGTTAAATCTTTTTTGAAGTCATATGTTTTTGAAGGAACCCAGGGGTCCTTAAACGTAATTCGTCATCAACATAGGAATTCAAATACAGTCCAATATCTAATTTATTAGCACCCACAGTCAACTGATGAAGGAGTTGTGTTTTTGTTGACTACTATTAGAACTATTAGTACTTAAATTGCTTAAATTACCTATGTCATGATTGCCTTCATTCATACTTAATGGACTTGATTCTATCTTGCGTTTCTTTTGCAAAAAATGTCGTATGTCACTCATTTTTATATATCAATAATTTTACTTAAGAACTAAAATAATATATTGTACATGGCGTATTTGGTATTAAGCACGTTGAGATAAACACGTCACGGACACACGACTAATAATAATTCAGATTTTATCATATAGTGTCGATGGATGTATAGGACATATCAGTTGCCACGTGTATAATACATACTGTATATTCAATATATAAATCGGTCATTTTTATCGCATGCGATAAGCTTACGAGTTTTCGTTTAGGATAAAGACTACTATTGTCATTATTGGGTTTTCTAATCATAACCACTAGCCCGCGTTACGTTGTAATCGTTAAAAAAAGAACTAAAATAACTTTGTATTGTCATATAATTTGAAAAAATATTTTTACGTATTTAACCATTATTATTATTATTATTATTATTATTATTATTATTACGTATATAAGCATTATTTAGAAATCAACGTATACCTACCTACTTGCACGATGCACAACCCTGATAAAATTCCTGGCGGCGCCTATGAACTCAGGACATAAATTAATGCATATAAAATAGTTTGTACACCATTTAAATATTCAGCAAGTATAATGTACACTTGAGTAAAAAGTGGAGATGCAATTTTAATAGTCCCATCTCCTTACCATGTCTTAGAATTTCTTAAAATATCCAAATATCGGAGTCTTCCAAAAATTAAAATTCTCTCTGTCCCTGGCCCACCATCAGCCAACAGAAATTGTTCTACGTGTCCTTCAGATGGCGAATACTTTTTATCACGTCGGGTATTTCTAGAGTTATGAGATCCTTGGGTGCTTCAGGTACGGCTTGTATATTATTTCATTTTCTTCGAATTTTGTTTTTTCAATGCATAATTTGATTGAATGGCCCCCTAAAAATATTAATTAAAAAATAAATTATTCACTATTGATGGTGTGACGAGACCACGACCCCTATCCCTGTCATTTGTATTATGTATAAACCTATTTTCCGTTCCTATCATTTTTATGTACTTATGTTTTTATGTTTATTGCAAAAAAAACCCTTATATATTAAACTATAGTATAATAATTAATTAATAAACAAGGCCGTCGACCATCCAGCCAGACATTCGTTTATGACAATAATTGATGTTGATTCCGTGGTTTCAAACGCCGTTTAATACTATTAACTGCTACATTTCCTTCAATTTTTGCTGCTTCGGAATCACGAGTGTGTTCATTTATTGATTTTATTATTTCAATATCGTCTACTGTTGTGTGTACTCAAGCTTTACACTCATTTTTATTTCGCCAACTCCAAAAACGGCGTTTTTCGTCACTACTTAGTGCATCAAATAAATACATATAACCGTTATTCACTAAGACATCTCGTTCGTATGTAGATTCAATTAATTTTGACATTATAAATAAGTGTATAACTCACTACAAAATATTTAAATAAGTATAAAACTCAATATTAATTGCAGAAAATATTTATGCCGTACTTATAGCGAGCGACGTTTTAGGTCATAGGACAACAATTAATGATAAACTTATAGCACACGACACTATACGACAATGACGAACGTTACTGAACAATAGACACATAAAGCGCAGATAATCGAGTTTTAAAATACGTTTTGATTGGTTTACTGGTTAATACATTTATTTTATAATAATTTGAAAGATTTACGCCGAAACGGCTTCACGACTAAACGGCTTCGCCAAAATGTCCCATTCCCTATTATTAATGACTATTTAAAAACTAGAGGTCTATTCTCTGTTAAATTATTCGACACAATACGAAAATAACGTGATCAGATACTGACTTCGTCATACGAATACTGATCAAAAAGCGAACGCATATATACTGAAATAAGAAATTATAGAAACTACTACCTACTACTTAGATAAGATATCGTCATATCGAATCGTTGTTATTTGATGACTTGACGTCAAAGTCGAGGTACGCTTTTTGATCAGTATTCGTATGACGAAGTCAGTATCTGATCACGTTATTTTCGTATTGTGTCGAATAATTTAACAGAGAATAGACCTCTAGTTTTTAAATAGTCATTAATAATAGGGAATGGGACATTTTGGCGAAGCCGTTTAGTCGTGAAGCCGTTTCGGCGTAAATCTTTCAAATTATTATAAAATAAATGTATTAACCAGTAAACCAATCAAAACGTATTTTAAAACTCGATTATCTACAATAATCATATTTGTAAAGAAAAACCTTTATCCATTCACCATAAATTATGACTCACAAGGGCAGATGTTGTTATTCCATGTCTTTTTATTTATTATACATTACAATTTTTGGAATATTGTTTAAAATATAATCTTTTAACATTTTTACACGTACACTCTTATTATTATTATAAATCCCTATTAATATTTATATAATATATCGTTAGATGGTAAAAACGCTATATGTATAATAATTCTCGATGTGGCATATGTTCACATTTCTTGGTATGTTAGTAACTATTTTTGTGGGGCTTCTGTGAGAGAAATCTGTATAGAAATATTTATTGGGTTAAACCATTGTCTCCGTCGCGTATTGCCAGCGTCGGACATCGTCTTTTGTTAGCGACCTGTACCGACCCGTTCGCGAGTAGGCTGTTGTTGACAACACACGCAGGTCAATTACTGGAATTATCATCCAATTCAATGATTTCCAAAATCACTGAAAATCTACAATAATGAACACATTTATCATAGCAAATACCTATTTAATATTTCGATAACCCGTGGCTCGATAAGCTACTCCCACCGAAAATGCTGAGATTTCTGGACACTTGCTCCGTTGTCCGCCAAGACAGAGTCAGTCTGTTCTAGACACCCTCACCTTTACGTTCACTTTGCCTTTGGTTTCTCCATGTTTTCACAGTCCTCATAATTCGTTCATCAGTATTTACAATTTTTCTCAGTGTTTAATTTTACAAGTGTTTAAACACTTTATTCTTTTCAAGTGTTTAATTTTACAAGTGTTTAAACACTTTATTCTTTTCAATCGTTTTCATTTTAAAACATTTGAATCATGTTTAAATGTGAACAGTGCTCGTCGGTTTTCACACGTAAAGACAATTTGCTTTCACATCAAAAGAAGCATGCGGGTGTACGTTTTCCGTGCACTGTCTGTCCTTCGACATTCTCATTCAAGTCCAGCCTCAATAAACATTTAAAGAATGCTCATGGTATGTACTAAAAATATTAAGTTTTATTTCTATCTTATACAATATTAATTTTTATTATTTTCCCCAAGGTATCGTCAACGTCCTGGCTCACTTGAGACCAATGCCTGCAGCGCCGATCAACGATCAACCAGCACGACCAAGCTTGAAACAGTTCGCGTCTCCTACCACTCCACAGATCCAAATCGCACCACAGATATTTATGCCCGATGTCCCGGCCGGTGGTTCGAGTATGTTATCCGAAGACGATATGTGTATGCAAGCCATGGACGAATTTGAGGATACAGGTTAGTTTATTTTAGTTTATATTATAGTTTTTTAATAAGACGTTAAATTTATTTTATTTTAAACTTATCAAGTGGTCTGTGAAGCGATCAATGGTATAATAGTTGGAGTATTCCGGCATTATACCGATCAATTCACTCGTCGCATCCTATGGTGTAATAGTTGGATTATTCCGGCATTGCACCGGTTGTCAAACCGTTTGGTAGATTTAATTTTTTTTCATCACGTGATTTTTCTAAGTTTTTTAATAAGACGTTAAATTTATTTTAAATGATAGATTTTATTTATCGCTTGATAGATTTATTAAAGATTCGGCAACACATTTATCAGATTTTAATTAGGTTTTATTTTTTATTTTTAAGATTCTTATACAACTACGGATGCAACCGGTAAACGTATTTCCACTGCCAACCCCACCTCAGCTGCTAAAGCTAAAAAAATTAGATTAAATCTCGTTATGTCACCCGGGTTTGTTGAGATTTTGTCGTCCGCGAGCCGTAAAATCGTATGGTACTATGCTAAAAATCTTGTTAATATAATGATTTATTCAGACTTTCTCCGTCCACTTATGCCTGAGCTAGTAAATTTATTAAAAGCCCATGTACAAAAACATGCGATAAAATTTAATTTGAAACTCGAGGCAACATACAACAGGCCCAACGTACCCAATTCGTCGGAGAACAGGGCGTTCAAGACAGTGGCGGTAGAAATTTTCCCAGATAGTGACATCAGAACGATTGCAGAGAGGGCGTATATGAAGTTGATGAAGGAGAAGGACGAATATATGGGTAGAGGAAGTGGATTTACATTAGAGTCGATAGACGGGTTATTAGTTGCTGTATATAAATATATGCTGATGGGTGGATCATCGTATATAGAGTTGCCGGCGTTCATCGACAGGAAGCGGGGTACCATCAACCCTCAGAATACGGACCAGGAATGTTTCAAGTGGGCGATTTTAGAGAGGCATGTGATGGGGCCGACAGTATTTCATATCGGGGAAAATTATAGACAGCACGAGGGAAAATATAATTTTGAAGGTATCACGTTCCCCACGCCTCTATCAGACATCATTAAATTTGAAAAAAATAATAAAAATGTTTCTATTAACGTGTACGGCCTCGATATAAAGTTTCAACCTCCCAAGAAATTCCCCACGTACGAGATCTACCCGCTACGTGTTGTTGACGAAGAAAAATCCAATCATTTCGACTTGTTGATGGTGACGGACGGCGATAACTCGCACTACGTATTCATTTCAAATTTCAGGTAAAACAATGCAATCAAAGAGGAAGGAGTGTTGATGGTGACGGACGGCGATAACTCGCACTACGTATTCATTTCAAATTTTTCACGGCTCGTTCGTGCACAGAAAACTGCACATGACGGTAGCGTTATTTTTTGTAAGAGATGCTTCACCAGCTTCGACAATCAGAATTTAAAGTTCAAGTTGAGTGGACAGGAGGCGTTAGAGCAGCACAAGCTGATATGCGGGGGACATAAACCAATTTTACCAGAGATGCCGAAGGAGGGTGATTGTATTGAGTTCAAGGCGTGGAAAAAAACGATGAGGCACCCGTTTGCAATATACGCAGATTTTGAGGCGATCTTGGCGAAGACGGAAGAGGCGAGAGGGGGTAAAACCACGATTACCCAAAAACACGAAGCGATGAGCTACGGGTTTTTGGTGAAGGCGAGCGAGGACGTACCGGCGTAGTTATTGGCAGAGTATGAGATACCGGCGGGGCCGGTAATATACAGAGGTGATGAAAACAGGACGGACGTGGCGAGGCATTTTGTAGAGTCAATAGTTGAGGTGGCCCAGAAAATCGAAAATCTGATGAAAACGAATATTATAACGATTATTATGAGCGAGGGCGAAGAAAAAACACACGAAGAGTGTATTGTGTGTAACTTTTGCAAATGTAGTTTAGCTGGGGGCTATAAGGTTAGGGATCATGATCACTTGACGGGCAAATTTAGGCTGACGTTGTGCTCTAGGTGTAACTTGGAGTTACAACAACCTAAATTTGTCCCCGTCTTTTTTCATAATCTCTCAAACTACGACTCGCACTTCATAATCACTGAACTTGGTTATGATACACAGACTATCAACGTTATACCGAACAGTGAGGAGAAATATATATCTTTTTCGAAACATATAAGTAGTACCTTCACTGTTCGGTTTATCGACACGTTCAGGTTTATGGCGTCGAGTTTGTCGTCCCTGGCCGAAAATTTGGTTACACCTGAACATGAAAACTTCCGTGAGACAGCTAAACATTTTGTCGTCGGAGATATGCCGTTCGTGACTCGGAAGGGGGTGTACCCTTACGAGTACACCGACAGTTGGAAGCGGTTGGAGGAAACTAGATTACCGAGGAAGAGGGATTTTTATAGTACATTGGCCGAGTCAGGTATAAAGGATAAAGAATTTGATCACGCGAAGGAGGTCTGGGACCACTTCGGCTGTACGACGTTGGGTGAGTATAGTGATTTATATTTGAAAATTGATGTGTTGCTACTGGCTGACGTATTCGAGAACTTTCGTGACGTATGTATGAGGGCGTACAACTTGGACGCCGCCCACTATTTCACCGCCCCAGGCTTAAGTTTTGATGCCATGCTCAAATATACAGAGGAAAAGTTGCAGTTGTTACATGATTACGACATGTTGTTGATGTTTGAGAAAGGTTAGTACATCATAATCATTTTGTATTATATGTATATACATATAATAATCTTATTTATTTTTTATAGGTATACGCGGTGGATTGGTGCAGGCGAGTAAACGGTATGCGAAGGCGAATAATGTAAAGACCCCGGATTACGACAAGACTAAGGAGAAATCGTGGATTATTTATCAGGACTGTAAGTATATATTTTTTATTTATTTTCTCACATATTTATTAATATTTTTTTTATTTTATAGGTAACAACTTGTATGGGTGGGCAATGTCCCAGTACATGCCGTACGGTGGGTTCGACTGGGTCGAACCTACATTAAACGGACTTGATGATTTGGAAGATTCTTCCCCTATAGGGCGAGTGTATGAGGTGGATGTGTCATACCCACAAAAATTACATAACAAACATAATGACTTGCCTTTTCTACTACAAAACAGTGTGCCGCGAGGCTCGAAGGTACGGAAGTTGATGGGGACGTTCGAGGAGAAAAAAAATTATATTATTCACTATAGGAACCTACAGCAAGCGATTAAAAATGGGTTAATAGTTGAAAAAGTAAATATTTATGTTTTATAAGATTTTAAAACAGATTTTTAACATTTTTTCTTACAGGTACATAGAGTGATACAATTTAAACAGTC